CTCCAAGCCACCCTGGTTCGATCTAACCACACGTCAACTGCTAAACAGGCGGGCCAGGTGTTGGCGGAGTTACCTTTCGACTCTGTCAGATGATGCCTTGCGGTGTTATCGAGCGGCACGGAACAAGTGTAAGCAGCACCTAAGGGATGCCAGGCTTCGTTACGAACTGGAGCTAGCAAACAGCTTCAAGCAATCCGAAGCGATTTTTCGCTTACGTCAGAAGACGATGACGTGCAGACCCATCCAGTCTGGTGTTGCATGGGCCTGATGGGGTTACTGCGCATACCGACCACAATAAGGCCTGCCTTCTCGGCGAGCTGTATGCGAAAACGTTTACTCTCGAGTCTCCTTTATCAACTATGGATTTGGAGGAGAAAGTTCTGGCAGCCTCTTTGTTGACTGATGTCACCGTGTAAGAGGCCCAGGTGTGTTCACTGCCGCTGGTGTTGATGTCATTCATCCAAAATTGTTATATGAACTGGCAAATGAAATATGTGGGCCCGTAGCTTGCCTGTTTGTGAAGTCTCTTACCAGTTGCACCTTACCCACCGACTAGAAGGAAGCTGTAGTTTGCCCCATCTTTAAGAAGGGAGATATTCATCCTTCTGCAAACTACAGGCCTGCCAGTCTAATCTGTGTGCTGGTTAAGTTGTTGGAAAAGCTGGGGAGGGATGCTCTCGAAAACCATTTGAGGTTGTTTAGCCTTCTCATCCCATCTCAACATGGTTTTCGCAGCGGGTACTCCTGCCTGACAAACATGATGATTGCTCATGAAAGTTGAGCGCACTCTGTTGATCAGGGTCAATCAATGGATGTGCTATTCATTGACTTCTCCAAAGCGTTTGACTCTGTCCCACATACTCGCCTTTCACTTAAGCTCCGTTCCTACGGAGTTTCCGGGCACGCGCTTCCGTGGCTATCCGCATTTCTCGAAGGGCGAGAGATGTGTTCGCGTGGGCTCCAGTCTTTTTTTCCGATAGACAGTTCTGAGCCGTGTCCCGCCGGGATCAGTTCTTGGTCCACTGCTATTTGCTGTGTACGTGAATGTTCGCCGACGACTTAAAGATTTAGTGCACGGTGAGCAATCCCGATGGCTCCCAAGTTCTACAACTGGGTCTTGACGGACTCCCTGATTGGTCTGTTCCGTGGCAGATGTCAATAAATTACAGTGTTCAATTTTGTGCATAGGATCAGATGGTCTGACGACGCACTACATGCTTGGCGCTATTGAAATCCTTCACGTATCCCAACAAATTGACTTAGGGATCACTTTGTCCCAGGACTTTAAATCCAACGAGAACTGGAAGAAAGCGTCTTGCAGGGGTTTTCGAACCCTCTGGATGCTCCGTAGGTCATTTGGGGTCCTAACGGAAGAAATGCTTGTTGAATTTTTTACGGCCTTTGTTAGACCGCACATGGAGTATTGCATCCAGGCTTGTCCTCCTCGCCTGACTCGCGACAGGATGGCAGTGGAGCGGGTCTTGAGAATCGGAAGCAGTATGGTCCACTACTGTACAACGCGAAAGGAAGTAATTGCCTTGGTGTACTTTAGCAGTTCTGCCATGTTCTGCTGCGTCGCAGCTTTATTGTCTTGACTAACCACCAATCTTTTATGTGGCTGCAGAACATCCGCAATCCTTAAGGCAGGTTGCGCGCTCTCAAGAAAAGCTACAGGCGTATGATTTCGAGCCCCAACACTGCCCAGGCGCAAAGCACGCAAACGCTGATGCATTGTCACGGCGGCCACTAAGGAATCACGGAACACGTCCAATATGCACGACCGCATTTCAATCCGCCATCATCTTCGACTCTCCTGGAAGAGAAGAGTGAAATCAGCTGCAGTCAACCAATCCAGAGCTGCATCTGTCATACAGATGCATCGCGCAAGGCGAAGACCGACCAGCGCAATAGGAAATCGCGGAGGCTAGTTGGGAGACAACGTGTCTCTGGTCACTGTGGCCCCATCTGCGTATCGTGGATGGCTTAATGTACTTCCAACCTGGACCGGCATGCTTACGTAGGATTATCGTTCCGACGGCAGCAATTCAGGAAGTGCTACGACGGGTGCACTAGGAACTAGGGCATGCCAGGCAAAATAAGATGGAAGATGCAATCCGCCGTCGTTTATGGGGCCGCAATTACGGCGCGACATTGCGATATATTGCCAAGCCTGCGTTGAGTTTGGGTGAAACGAATATCGTGGTAGAGCCCGCCGCGCACCACTACAGCCCATGACGACTGGCTTTCCGAATGAGCTAGTGGACATCGACATTGTTGGCTTCCTAACAGAGACCGCCAGAGGACACCGCTACGTCTTTGTGGTATTTGATTACTTCGAAAAATGGTGCGAAGCGACTCTACTGCAAAATACAGACGCATGGAGCTTAGCTAAGGCGTTCCTCGGAAATTGGGTGCCGAGATGGGAAGCACCCTATCACTTTCACTCAGCACGTGGATCCAACTAATGATCAGGAAAACGCGGACAACTGCATACTACCCTGAAAGAAATGGGCCGGTCAGAGATACTAATCCCACTTTAAGAGTATTAGTAAAATCGTTTTTAAACCGCGAAACACCCCGGAAGTGGGACACGCTGCCAAAACCCTTGTTGGCCTACCGGGCGTCCGTCCATACTTCGACCGGTCAAACACCGGGCGCGAGCTGCGATTACCATCGGACACTCTACTACCATTGTTGCACCACGAAGCCTTGGATTGCCTCGGATAATATACTCAGAATGCAGGTTAACCTGCTACATGCGCATCAGGCAGCACAGGACCACCTACAAATCTCACAGCGCCATCAGAAAGCGCACTTCGATCGCAAGGCCTTTGAAAATCAGTTCAAACTTGGGTGTCCCAGCGCAGTTTCACCGGAATTGAGTAAGGCCGTATGCCCTAGAGAACGTGTGATCGGATATAACTTATCGGATCATGATGTCTGGTGTATCCGGGTCATCGACCGTCGTACATTTCAACTGACTGGAGTCTGCCAGATGCGTAGTCGCTGAGGGCAGCGCCCGTAATAAGCATGCGGGCATTGGTACTACGCCCTTAGAGTAGTTACTACTGTTTCTTTTACAGAACGAGTGGCGATGACTGAATACTCAGATTAAGACCCACAGCCCTGGGATATGGAAGAACATACGGGCGCGCAACGTTGTTTAAACAATACCCCCTTTTCCGGTCCCACTTGACCTTGTAATTTCACTCTTCCCCTGTTATGCTTCTCCCTCGCTATCTGCTCGTCATTCAGCGATAACTACATCTTCCTACTACACTACTTACTAGGTTGTTAAAATAATTTCATCCAACTGCCTACGGAGTATTTGTTTTGCCTTCCAGCTCTACGGGTCTATTACGACCTCCTCTACGCTTTAGACGCCGAGTCCCTCGGAATTTTCAACTAGTTGCATACTACAATTGGACACTCCGTTAGACGGTCGTTCCGGTTTTTGGACTGTTGAGTGTCTCATGGTGCCGCTAGGGGGTGTCATTAACGAACCATTGCTATTGATTCATCGAATGAAATTTTTTTGAACCAGCTTTCCAAGCAACTATAACAGTATTCGGTCATTCGCAATACCACGTCTTCTGTTTCACACCGACCTTAACCACCTGATACCGAACCAATCGTAATGCTCTTGCTTAATGTCCCTTCTGACCTTTTGGGTACTGATTCGGACTGCGAAATTCAGTCATTATGGTGCCATACAAATCAAGTGTTGACTGAGAGGCTTGGTCAGGCTGGTGCGTGCGTCTGAGTGGATGGGGACCTCGGAATGGTCCACACTCGGAAACGAGCTGCCGCATTTCTTCCATCCCAACGCCGACTGTTCGACACGAGGTCATAAATAGAAGCTGTTCCGACTAATAAGACTCCACGCTCGCTCAGACCTCACCCTGTCCACTAGGTGGTGAATAAGTGGAACAGTTTACCTGAGGCAATTGTTGAGGAATATTTCAAGAGGCTTTTAAACGAACACTTATTGATGCCGATGAATCCTGCTGCTTCTGCTGCAACTGCGACGAGCCCTCTAGGAACGTCGTCACACCACGACACGCAGCTATCCCACAATGAATGGGAATCAACGGAGCTGACAAGGATGCTCCCCGCTGCTCTCTTCAACCCAATGAACCAATGGTTGCAGACCCTCTCAGTCACGCTGTCAGCGGCAATGCTGCATTCGGTTTCTTGCATCTGCTTTTTAATTCGCGTTCCATTTTGAGTAGTCTAACGCACCTGCTTCTTGTTTCCATTTTCTTTACATTATATCTCCATTCAATCCCACTTTCTTGTTGTTGTTATTTTTTATTATTGTTATTATTATTATTATTGAGATATGAGCTGTTGCAACTGGATCCACCTCACTTTGGTGCTTGAGTTCTAGTTGTTCAACTGAACTGAACTGACTAAATTCAATACCTTTCCGGTTTCCTTCCGAGGATTCTGATGTGGACACTTTCATTGATGTTTCTGTTCGTTTCTTTCATGACAACTCATTTAATTCCCCGTACTCTTAGCTGAACGAGCACATCATCATCATTATCCACGTCAGCTAGAGGTGGGAAACACCTCAGCTACTGTGCCGCAATACGTAAATGAAAAAGGAAAATAAATACAAAAGTTGCATGCCAGCTGAGCTACCAGCAACGGATAGGCATCGTTCCGGTAAGCTACCAGCTGGCTACTAGACAAAAAGAGAAAAAGGTTATGTTTTACGCTACGAAATGAGATCGTAAATGGAGGGGGAGGCTAAAAGGGATGTGGAGGGACAAAGAAACTCATAGCAGGAAAGGCACTGAGGCCGGCTCCTTGCCATGTCAGCAAGTGTATCTAACCAAACGTGTTCACCGTCTGAACGAGCACACCAATGCACATTGCCCTATCCGTCGAGTAACTGAAACCCGACTCGCTTCACCCCGTCAGATCTCACCAGCCTACACACTCACTCGGCTGTTAATATAGTTCTACGGATTGTTTTGAATACGATGTTTTCTATGAATGGATTATTCCAGATCGAAGAGACCAATCAACCAGTTGCGTCCTCTGTAAATCTGGACGAATCTCGTTAACTGCGAGGCCGAACTGGGGTTTTCGATTCATATCGGGCCACCTGCCTAAATGTGCTTTCAACGAGAGCCGTATCCTTATCTGTGATATAGCTCATCGGGCTATTTTTCTTATCGTACGTTAGACTCGCTTAAGCTTTCTTCCTTTTGTTTTATAGAGTGGCGATAATGAAAACAGTACATTTAAACGACGGATTTACCATCCCGACGATCGGGTTCGGAACTTGGCAGGTATGTCTTATAATGCTACTTTTTGCTTACATTGCAAAGTTGCAATCCACGACAATAGAGTCATGCATCATGGCAGCTGTTGATGCGGGTTACCAACACTTTGATTGTGCTTTGGTGTATCAAAATGAGGCGTTGATTGGAAGCGCCTTATCCATGTGTTTCAGCAGTGGCCAAACCAAGCGATCCGACTTGTTCATTACATCAAAGGTATGGATTTTAATCTTTGATGTCTTCCTTACAGCTCTGGAACACCTACCATCGCCCGGAACTTGTGCTTGATGGCTGTCGCAAGAGCTTGCTTGATCTACAATCAGGTTACATCGATTTATACTTGATGCATTGGCCCGTTGCCTATCAGGTGCGATACGAGTATTTGTTCTGACTACAACTAGCCAGGTGATTCATTGTTCCCCATGGACTCCAGTGGACACGGATTATATGATTCCATCCCTCCAGAGGAGACTTGGAAGGTACGACCTTATAGCTCACTGCAAAATGAATTACAATGGCTTAATTTTGTTTATCCCCATTCATCATTGTCAGATCTGTTACGTGGTGTTAGTCAACCACGATTCAGGCACCTGGTGTGATATTTACCGGGAGGAGTTGGTTAACGGTACTATACTTGTCTTACCGTATATGTTCTGACGGTTACCGTTACCGATAGTTGAAGAGGAAACTCCGAAATGACCGAACAAACGTTCCACAGTGGAACGGGAATCCCGGATTTGGAGAGAACAGACAGGTTTCAGCCCAGGGCGGGGCTGTATAGATCATATATTCACTCTGAGGCAGGTTCTAGAGCAGCGCCACACGTACCGCAGACCGAAAATAGCTGTGTTCCTCGAATTCTAAACTGCGTTCGACTCAGTCAATCGATCAATACTGTTCGAGCTATTTGTGCTGAAATGCGTTCCCATGAAATATTTGAACATTTCCGTGATCTGTACTCAAATACTACTGACCGCGTCAGGGTCTACGGCTATCTTTTCGACACCCAGTGCCGTTCTTCAGGGTTATCAAACTTCCCACTTTGTCCAATTTCTTGATGGACTGCATCATGGAGTGTTCCCTTGCGGAATTTTACGATGCAGGTGTTGAGGTGCTGCCTGGAGGAAAGCTAGTTGATCTTACTTGTGCGAACGATGTCTTGCTGTTTGACGATATTGGGTAGGTCTTATCAACCCTAAATAACCTCTAGAGTCTCCTCATCATTTGGCATGCTTTTCGCACCTTCAAACTGCAACGTTTGTTGCAGGACCAGGCGCATAAGCACTGAAGTCACTTCACATATTGCGAACTCTGGTACTTCCTTCTTGAGTCTGCGATATCTGACTTTAAGAATGAGTTCCTCTCGGTCTGAAGAGCCGTGTTTACAAGGCCACGGTGAGGGCCCTCCTACTCTATGGGAGTGAGACTTGACCTCTTTGTTCTGAGCATTTGAAGCGCCTTCAAGTCTTTACTCATCGTTGTCTGCAAAGCATTGCTGGTGTCGGATGGCACCAGGATGTATGCAACCTTGATATGCGTAGGCGAGTGCTAGGCAGTGATAACTAAGCTGGTTTCCTGGAACAACAGATAGCACTTAATAGGCTGCGTTGACTTGGGCACATCCTACATATGCTTGGTCATCGCTTACCTAGGAGGGCCTTGTTTAGTCTGCCAGATGTAGGGTGGCATATGGCTCTAGGTAGGTACAAGTTAACTTGGCTATGGGAAATGAAGTCACTGACTACACACTGGGTGCCGTTGGTCCGTCTTGCTTTCCATTCTGAAGTCTATATGACGCGTCTTGTGCTTGGCTTGATACGTTTCAGGACATGGCTCGCAGTCGACACCAGTGTTGTGTCTGCTGTCGTCTCCTATTCGGACTGCCTGTTTATAGTGTGTTCGGTGGTGAGTTATCTGCGAAGTAATGGCTGCTTATGACGCTGGGCAGTGAAAGCCGTAAGGAAGTTGTCTCGCCGATGCCGCCTTATCTTTGCACGATAGCCAACTGTTTGTGACGGTATGTTGTTGACACAAAATGTAGGCGCCTTGACCCTGAATGTTTGTTTCGTACACTAAGGTTTTATGCTAAGTCCCACTTCGCTCACTGTTGTTATTCGTCTTTCCTTGGTTCTACTGCAGCGAACGATCAGTCTAAATGGCTGATGTAATACTGTTGAGGATGATGCTTATTGATGGGTTGTACAGTAGTCCCGTGTATTGGTTAAAACTGCGTCCCTGATTCGATGCGTTGCTAGCTAGAGGAATGCTGGATACCTCTTTATGGAGCGGCAAGGCAGATCCATTTGTAACGCTTACAGATCAAACATACTAGTGCAACATACGTTTCAACATTCTGCACACCATACTTAGGTAAAGCGACGGAATCTCCAGAATCCTTCGGATGAATCCAGTGTCTCAGAACTTAAGAGGTGGCTTGCTGATGAAATGATTTAGCATAATTTCCTTTGTTATTCTATGTCTGCAAGTCTTTTCTGGAACCCGATGTAGGGCGTTGATTCTCTTCGACAGCCCTTTCACTGACCGTGGGAACGCTGTGCTTCAGGCACTGCGCATTTTATTTGAGAGCCTCTTCGCTCCGACGGCAGTTACTAAAGCAACCTCACTCGTTTCTTCCACACTTAGTTTTTACCCAATAACCTCCGTTTATTTCCTGTTTTCAGGCCATGGAACAGCTTGTGACCAAGGGCCTGGTTAGATCAATCGGCCTGTCCAATTTCAATGAATCACAGATTGCACGAATTCTTCAAGTTGCGTCCATCAAACCAGTTATGCTGCAGGTTGAGAGCCATTTGGGCTTCCTGAATGAGGCGGTCATCTCGTACGCAAAATCAGTCGGATTGGCTGTTACAGCGTATTCACCTTTGGGTTGTCCGGGAAGCAAAAACAAGTGAGAAACCGCCGATGACATTTACAAGTCTTTGTTGTTCCTTCACTTTAAATGTTCTGTTGTCATCATCATCATCCTCGCCATCATCATCATCAATCATCATGATGCTTATCAGAGACCCGCCTGTAAGACTCGAGCTCTGTGCTCACTTTGCGATCCCCTTCAGGTGACGCAAGCAGTATTTTCTCATTGCGCCTATCCGCTGACGATGCAGCTTCGAGTTCCGGCGAAGCTGATGTTGGCATTGCCCTTAGTCCCCGGGCTGAAGCTGCTCTGGTTGAATGGATTCCAAGCAGTAGCCGGATGTGTGCGGTCCGATTGGCTGGATCGTTCAAAACTTCGAAGTCGCGCGGCACTACTAGGTGTCTATTCATCATCGCTGCCTACGCGCTCACAAACTGTAGCGATGATTCGGTAAAGAAAGACTTCTACCGCCAACTGACCTAGCTCCTTCGCCACAGAAGAAGCACGGACACTGTTGTGCTGGCGGGCGATCTGAACGCACAAGTTGGAAAGTTGTCCACTGATGAAATGCATCTGGGCGGTCAGCACGGTGTAGGCTCCCGTAATCATAACGGTGAGCGGTTACTTCATTTGTGTGAAGTTACTCGCTTATTTCTTGCAAGCACTAACTTCCGACACAGCACCCGCCGGAGGGTGACTTGGCGCCCACCAGCCTTGGACGCAGATCGATCACATTGCTATCAGTTACCGCTGAAGAGGCTGCATCCAGAACTGTCGCTCGATTTGGAGCACATGTGTGGACACCGATCATGCACTTGTATGTAGTGACCTACGCATGCGTTTTGGCGGACGCCCAAGAAGACGTTGTGAGCGCATTGACACCAGCCAACTGACAAAGCCAACTGTTATGAATGCGTATCGAAGTACGCTGACATGCGAGTTGAGTAAGCGCTCACTGGAGACAATTGATGGCCACTGGTCACATGTTCACCAGACCTTACTAGCAGCAGGCAAATCCTCATGTGGTATGTCTAATAGCCAACATGGTTATTGGGTCTCTTCGCAGTCTCTGGAACTTATAGATGCTCGCCGGCATATTCCGGCTGGAAGCGAACACAATGAAACTCGCAAAGAGCTCCAGGCAAGACTCCGTGCCAGCCTAAAGAGAGACCGCGAATCTTGGTGGTCTCATCGTGCGTCAGAGATGGAAGTGGCCGCTGCCCTTGGCAACCATCGTGAATTATTCCGTCTGATACGGGAAACGGGCAGCAGGAGACCTGGTGTTAGTGAAACTATACGTGACGAGAGTGGACAGCCTATCCACAATTTGTCAAAACGGTTGGAGCGTTGGGCTGATCATTTTGAAAGGCAATTTAATCGGCTAGAATTGTTCGATTCTTCGCCGGCCAATGATCGCCCCGCTCCGGGAGCTGTCCCTTTGGATCCACCCTCTCATTCCGAAGTCGAACGTGAGATCGGACTGTTGAAGTTGAATGAAGCCGCGGGACCAGATGATCTTCCTTCAGCCCTCTTTAAATTCGGAGGCTCTGCTCTTGTTGGTGCTTTACATGAATTACTAGTGAAACTGTGGGAGCAGGAAACTGTCCCAGCCGACTGGAGCCGCTCCGTGATTGTTCCCATCTTCAAAGGCAGCTAGCGTTCGGAATGCGGCAACCATAGAGGAATCAGTCTGATCTCCATCACCTTCAAATTACTCGCCTCCATAATCCTTCACAGACTGACTGGCACTCGTGAAAGCCAGATTCGTGAGCAGCAAGCGGGGTTTCTTCGGGGTCGTGGATGCATCCACTACATCTTCACCTTGCGTCAGTTGTTGGATCACCCTCATAAATATTGGCGGCGCATCGTAGTCGTGTTCCTCGACATCAAAGGTGCCTTCGATTCGGTCGATCGATGTGCCCTTTGGAATTGTCTACTCAGGAAAGGTGTGCCCGAGAAATATGTAAATATTATCCAAGCATTATACCCGCGTAGCACGGGCAGAGTGAGGGCTTACGATAAGCTGTCGGTACCCTTCAATATCTACAGCGGTGTGAGACAAGGATGCCCGCTGTCACCTTTCCTATTCAACTTAGCTATTGACGAAGTCATGCATGATGAAGTCATGCATTTACAGGACATGACTTGGAAGGTGTGAATTTGCTCCCAGGAGAACGACTTCTTGACTTGGAGTATGCAGACGACATTGCCCTCATCTGTGACAGCTCCCAGACGTGCCAAGCCGCGCTGGACATATTAGCACTGGCTGTCAGCCGCTTCGGGCTTTGCTTTGCACCATCGAAATGCAAAGCATTCCTCCAAGATTGGCAGGGATCGCCTCCTGCGCTAACCCTTGGTGGGGATCAGCTAGAAGTCGTTCAGAAATTCAACTACCTGGGAAGTTGTATCAGCGCCCTTGGGATCGAAGACGAAATCACGAACCGTATAGCGAAAGCTCGAAGTGCTTTTTCTAACCTTCACCACCTGTGGCGGCGGCGCGACATCACTCTCGCCCTGACGGGTAGAGTGTACAATGCAGCGGTACGTTCGACCCTACTTTACGGTTGCGAAACCTGACCACTAAGATCGGCAGACATGAAGAGGCTAGTTACGTTCGACCATCGGTGTCTTCGCAGTTTGGCTCACATCTGGTGGGAACACCGCGTGAGTAACGAGCATGTTCGACGCCTTGTTTACGGCGCAGGAAAAGGAACTCAACCGCTCAGCATCGTCATTTCACGCACCAGGCTCCGATTGCTCGGTCACGTGTTACGCATGTCAGCCCACCGACTCCCGTGCCGTGCGTTGTTTGCTCACCGGGGATGTGGGTGGAAGAAGAGGAGGAGTGGCCAGGCGATGACTTGGTCCAGAGGAATGAAGTCCCTCACTTCGGAGCTGGCCTCGGTTGGAGCCTCATCGCTCCCTGGTTGGGGTCCAAGAGGCGGTGATCACGTTTGGCTGGATACACTTGCTGACATGGCTAGGAGCCGACCTCAGTGGCGTTCGTGCTGTGAGTTTCTTTGTCCCTCCCCATCCCTTTTAGCTTCCCCTCCACCCACGATGTCATTTCATAACGTAAAACAATAATTTTTCTTTTTGCTTATTTGCCGGCTGGTAGCTTACCGGAACGATGCCTGTCCGTTGCTGGTAGCTCAGCTGGCATGCAACTGTTGTATTTATTTTTCTTTTCCTTTATGTGTTGCGGCACAATAGCTGAGATGTTTCCCACCTCTAGCTAACGTGTATAATGAATATATTGGTTGTATGCACTTGTTGACCTGGTAAGGCGCCGACCACATTGACGTTTGTGTTATGAGTCTTTTTATCCCTTCCCTCCTCTTTAGCTTTGCCCTCCGACAACCATCTCAAACCCAATGCATAATGATTTTAGCATTTCGTTACTTTTTAACTTTTTACAGTATTATTTTTTTGTATTGCGGTGCATTGACAGAGGTGTGTTTTTCACCCTCGGCTGACTTGTGTTGTTGATGATGATCATCATCATCATCATATATGCCGCCATCGTTCACTCGTTTAATTGAAATCGGCCGGTTCCGCGTGGTCTGCACTCCTGACTTGATCATAAGTTCACAGGTTCGAATCCGCATGGGGCGCGTCTCCTTCCGTTATACCAAGCCCACGCGCGACTTGTGGTGGTAGCGCGGTGGCGATGCGCCGTTACGGCCTACTGCTGACTATTTATTTGCCCGGCCCGTAGCCTGAAGGTGACAAGTCTATCTTGTAACCTGATGGCGCGGATTCGAGCTTGTACAGGTGCACGGCGACCATCACAGTATCCTTAGCCCACCTGCGACCGATTGACATTTGGAATACTCTTTTGGCTCGCACTTATTGGCTCAAGTTCTTCGTATTCCTGCTCATCACCCATCATTTGCATTCTGTCCGCTGTTATCGCACCTCTTTTGACGAAGCCGCAGCGCAACGAAATGAGGAAGCGGTAGGGTCACCCGACAATGCTTATGAAAGCATCGGGTTATTTCACTGCGGGTTGTATTTTCGCAGTGGATTCTCATTATCACCAAGAGACGACGCCTTCAGTGCAGTGGTTAAGACTTGAGCTTCTCTTTTGGACTCTACTCACAATAGTAATAATAATAATAATAATAGATATATTTTTCCTTTAAGAAGAATAGTTCATTCGTACAGTTATGATTATGTTTATGCATGGGATATGTATTTACTAGTGTCCGTGCTGTCCAGACATTCTGAAATGGAGTGCTTTTGGTGCTGCTGGGTGCTGTACGATAGCAGTTGTCACTGGCTGTGTATTCCTTTGTCCATCTTGGAGAAACTCATTTGGCGATTCTCCTGATGAAACATGGCTATTCTCATGTTCTGGTCCAGGAAACCTCCAAATTTAGTGCGGAACATTTATTGCATTTACACAATTAGCGAATAGTCTGTTCTGCAGGACAGTATGTCAGACGAGGAATAACAGAGCGAATAGCTGTCCTCATTCATCGAATAATTAGTTTACAGTTATTGTCGCGAAGCCTTCGAGTGAAGTTGCATTGTAATTCTAATGTGCACAGATTGGGAAATGTCTCTGGATTTATGCGTTTGTACATAACCATCAAGTTATGCTTCAGTCGTCATAACCAAAGTGGCTCGTAGTGAAGCCGCTGGCAACACTCAAGGTGGACGATATACTGACCAAACGGTCAGTGAACAATCTTCGCAGATCCTTCAGAACTTTTCTATCACCCATTCCTGTGTTCTCGTCAATGATGCAGCAGTACTCAAGGATGTGGGGGTAAGGATTTTGATAAGTTCGATTTTTTCGGGCACTGTATGGACTTTATGGCATATGCTAGCCATCAATCATTTAGCCCGCGCTATTTATTATTAGGCATACTCTGAGGAGTTGAAGTTGGAAGAAAATCTTATTCCTAGATCACAACTGGATATTTTCACACAGCTGCGTTCCTTTTTGTGTTTAACTGGCTCTTCAGGAACCGAACACCCAAAAGACATGATGCTTGATTTGCTAGCTGAGAACTTTGTCAGCCACGTGC